GGGGGGGGGGGGGAAGGGGAAGGGGAACTTGAATCCCCTATATAGTATTCAAACTTAAGTAGGTTCTTTTATAGACCCATCCCTATCCTACTCATGTAAGGTCTACAAAACCATACCGGTTGGCTAAAGGTGCTGAAGGTTGTCTACCTAATGCAAGTCTTCCTTATCCTGGATTAGCAAGGAAGGATAATAAAAGCAGATTTACTCCTTTACATTGCAATTATGACTGAACATGATGTAGGTGAGTTTTTTTTGGATTTCATGAGAGTCCTTTTTTTGTGAAGCATTAACCCAAACATACCCCATTAAATGCTATTGAGTACAAAATGATATTTTATATATGGCTTCCAAATTCTGATTAGGATCACGTGAAGTATGAGTCTTTTTATTTGATGATTTTCCTTTGTTTGGTAGAATATATGAAAAATATGCCACAAATGTTGATGAAGCATAGAAGGGTTGAGGATGAGGGATGGGTTTGTGGTTGGGAGCCTACTGTCCATATGGGGATGTGGGTTTGAGTCTCACCTTGATGTTCCCCTCTCACCCAAGTCGTAAGCCAGATAGATGGAAACAAAAGTGTTAGCATTGTTATAATAAGGATGTGAAGTTAGTTACTATTAATCTTTAATGTTAGTTTGGTTTAACAATGTTTGTTCGAAGGTGATATGTTAGGTTTGTTTTTGAATAAACTTCTCCTTGATGCATTGCATGCTATGCAAGCCTTTTTTAAGTACCTGAAGGAAAATTGGGGACGGGGTGGGTTTTGTATTTAGTGTGTTAGGTGACTGTTGCTTTTACTGCTGATTGAAGAGGTTCTCATGTTTTTGATAAATCTTCATTGTTGCCTTCCTCGGTGTGCTTCCTGTTTGCTGTTAACATGCTTTTGTATTGCATAGTTAATGCTTTCTGTTCATGATAGTTTATCTGTTAAGTTGCTAAGAAGCTTTCTGTTCATGATAGCTTATCTGTTGATTTGCTAAGCAACATTTAAATTGAAAGCAGAGCTTCAGTAATTTCCTTCAGTTTTTTTTTCCTTTTCTGTTGTACACTTCAATCTTGGAGGTTTCTTGCTACCACTTTGAGAGGTTATTGATCAAACTTCTTGACTTGACATCTTTTTGTTTCTGTATTTGACTTGATGGCTTTTTGTTTCTGCTGTCCTTTTCATGCACATATATTATTTAATTAACGTATGAATGTGTTCCACGGGATTTGAATGACATCTGCTGATGGCCCTGTTCATGCAGATTTTAAATGAAATAGAGATACTTAAAGAAATCAGGATTAATAAAGACAAAAGAGAAAAGGGATCTTAAAGACGCAGACTACTTGCTTATCTTTATACCAAAGCCTCACAAGAAGTCTCTAAACCCACCTTCATCAACTATAATGTACAGGGCCCGTTGGCTTTTCTATTTTTGAGTTTTGGTTTGTAAGGATTCTACTTCTTGATGAAACCAGTTATTTAAACATGGCTTCTGAGATGATTGCCATCATAATTTTTTTTTGCATTCTTAGTTTGATATCTTAATGTTGCATACGATCCAGTTAAAGAAAGATTATAGAGCTTATAGATGGCCAAAGAAAGATATCATCTTCGAGAAGGGATGCCATTCACAGTTTTTACTGGTAGAGGTATGATGAGATTTTCCAAGAAAAGATAGTATGAGATATTAAAGTTGGGGCAAGGAAAGTCTTGTGAAGTCAGATGCTGATCAAGCAGTGCATCTAAAGCCTTAAATTGTGTTTGGAACAAAGTGTTGTTATGTTTGTTCGCGAACTCTGAAAAAGGTAACAGTTAAATGTCATGTTTTATTCTCATTAGATTTTGAGGGAGCGATGTTGAAAATTTTCTTATCCTGAATCAAATTACTGGGTTTTAGTTTCTATGAATTGGTGTTTTCAGGAATTTTAATTATAGTGTCTTGTGAAGTTTGTAGTAGGGCTCCTTGTGAGAATACAGATTCTTCTAGTCGCACGCTTTATTTCTATTTTAGATTTATCCAAATATTTCAGGATGATCTGATTTTTGCAGTGTCTGTAACTAGGTTGTGTAATATTTTTGTTTTTCCTTTTTACTGAGACAGGGACCGCAGAGCAAGGGATGACAACTACTCTCCACACCGATCTAGATCTATTTCCAGATCGGTCTCTCCACGCAGTGAGAGAAACCAAAGGTCTTCAAGGCGATCTAAATCCATGTCTAGATCCCCTCCTCCAAATGATGATAGAAAGCACCAGTTGAGCAAGTCCCCAAGTCCGAGTGAAAATGGCCGGAGTGCTCATGATGAGGAGTATGCACGCCGCAGATCAGAGAGTCCTAAAGTGACTGCTCGCCCCTCCAGATCTCATTCTCGATCTTACAGGTGTGTGCCATCAATTTTCAACATTTGATTGGCTGAAACAATTGTTCAAAGGAAAAATAAACTATTTGCCTAAGTTGGAATTAGCTTTTTTGTTANAATTGTAGAGTGTACTCTGCTATAAGTTAAACTAGACTGGGACTATATTCTGGTATCACTGAATGTGAAGTTTGCTATGTGGGACATACTATCGTTGATACTGCTGTCATTTTGCTTTTGTTGGATCTCATGGCTTCAAATTTCACTGGTATGGAAGTATTAACTTGTAAGGCGTTTGCACTGAAGCTCATTTTCCTGTTTATTTGGTTGGATTTCGTCTTGGTAAAATTGCTTAATTCTGTTCTAGATATGGTAGGTTTGAGTACGTGGAGTTGAGATTGATTATATCTACTGAATTATTGTTTCCAACAAGTGCAAGGAGCCAAGTACTCTANTCATTCTCGATCTTACAGGTGTGTGCCATCAATTTTCAACATTTGATTGGCTGAAACCATTGTTCAAGGGAAAAATAAACTATTTACCTAAGTTGGAATTAGCTTTTTTGTTACCCAATTGGCTCTGCGTTCTCTTCATTGGGATCCAAGGTTTGATCTGCATGTTGGAACATGGTAGATATAAGTTTTATTGTGGAGGTCTTGAGATGCTGACATGGTCTGAAAGGGTTTTAAGCCCCTGTTGTCAATTAAGAGCATGAGGAGTGCATTTTGGCAAAGTTGAGAGTAAGGACAGTCATGCTCCAACTCTGAGGCAATCGTGGCACGTGGCTTGACCTGAAATTTGCACTTGCAGTATTGAAGTATAGTCTGTCATACAAACATACATACATTAGTGTTTTGAACTATATTGTCTTTGAATTGTCATAAGGAAAAGTTAAAGGTCCATCTATCTGTCCGTGGTAGGATGCATTTGTCAGCCTTGGTTAATAGCTCAGAATCCTCTGATTTTCCCCAAAGGAAATAAACAAAGCTCAACATCCTCTTGGATGTCGTTTGGCACACTCTTATATTTTTTGGTGGGCTGCTTCTAGCCCCCCCCCCCCCCCCCCCCCCCCCCCCCCC